AACACCACTTAGCTAGAGAACAAGAACCCAGCACCAGCAGCACCAGAAAAAAAAAAAGAAACCGAAAAAACTAAAAAAATAAAAAAAAAATAAAAAAGTTTTGTTACCCAGTACGCGGCTCCACCAAAGAAAAGCAGCAAAAGCTGCAGCAGAAGTCCAGGCGTTGCCGAAGAAGAGAAAACTGCGGTTGGCGAACTGGGCCTCCCAGAACTGTTTCCACAGCGGCTGGCGGATGTAGTTGGGGGGCTCGAGGACCCAAAGGGGTTTTATTATTTCATTGAATTGAATGTTTCTTGTTAAGGGGGCGGGAGCACCAGCTGCAGCAGAAGAAGAGGAAGAGAAAGAGGGGCGGTGAGCTGGGGCACGCAGAGACAGCGAACGCCGCAGCCCACACAAACGAAAAGAAGATAGAAACATCTTATAATGTTTGCTGTTTTTCTCGTTGATAGGCTGGGCTTGTGTTGCTGCTGATGGTTCTGCTGCTGCGGCTGCTGCTGCTGCTGCTGCTGCTGGGCGGGCTGGTTGCGTCGCTGTTGCTGTTGCTGCTGTTGCTGTTGCTGCTGCTAGGCGGTGTAAGGAGAGATAAAGAGAGGAAAATACGAGAAAATAAATATAATTTATGGAGGAAATGCTGAAGAAAAAAGGAGAACGAGAGCCAGACAGAGAGTGCAGGGGCTGGGTGTAAGAAACAGACAAAAGTTNCTGAAGAAAAAAGGAGAACGAGAGCCAGACAGAGAGTGCAGGGGCTGGGTGTAAGAAACAGACAAAAGTTGAAATCCACGCCGGACGGAGCTAAGCCTCGTCGAGGCCGCTTTATTTCATTCTGCTGCGTTTCTCTTTTTTCTTTGTTTGTATTTTGTTGCAGTTTACTACTCAATTCATCGACAACACACACACACAAATCCTCACCAGCTGCTGCTGCTGCTGCTGATGCTCCTATATAGGGGCTGCTGCCTGGGGCTTGCGCCTCTTCTCCCCCCGCCGCTGCGAAGGAACGGAGAGAAAGAGAGAGGAATCCACGCGCGTTTTTGCATGAAAACAACAAATTACAATTAAAAAACAATTGTTATTGTCGTTAGCGTTTATTTTTTCTCAGCTTTCCTTCGCTTTCCTCACCAACCACCGGGTTTGTAGCTGCACGTACACCACAATGCCGCTCTGCCAAATCCTCTGCAACAAGAACTTCGAGAAGGCCACCGCGGATGCCTTCCTCGCGGATGTAGAAACAGGTAAAATAAAATAAACGAAATTAATTTATTTCAGATATTTAATTTATTTATTAACTCGTATTTCGTGTTTTCCCGGCTGCTGCGGCAGTTATTTTGGTTCGCTTTGCTGCACTGGAGGCTCCGCCGCTGTGCTCTCTCCTGGGGTGGCGGGTGGGGCGATGCGGTGACTTGGTTTGCGGCTGTTGAGCCCATTGGTTTGTTGTTATTTGTTGCTTTTTTTTTGTTTTTTTTTGTTTTTTTTCAGCTCTGAGCAAAGCCCTGGGAAAGCCGGCCCAGTACATCAACGTCAGCCTCACCCGTGCGGAGATGCGCCACGCAGGCAGCACGGATCCTGCAGCGAGCGTTTGTGTTAGCTCAATTGGAAACATCAGCACCACTACAAATAATATTATTTGTGTTGAAGTCGCCACTCTCTTGCAGAAACACATCGGGATACCTGTGGAGCGCGTGTAAGTCTCCTGCAATCCCCNTTTTCAGGTTCTTCTCATTCGCCGATTTCTCTGCCGCGAATATCGGCATTGGCACTCGCGTCTTCGCCTGAGGAGGAAACGACAATTTGAAATAAATACATGGATATAAAAATATGAAATAATAAATACAAAAATATATAGATAGATAGAGATAGATATATCGATGGACATTATGAAAGAATTTGTTTTGTTTGCTCTCCCTCATGTTTGATAGCACGCAGCTGAGAAGCGAAGACACTTCAGTCTCTTCTCCTGTATTTGCGTTTTCCTTTTTCACATATTTTTGCGATTTGAGTCAAATCGCCGTTTGCCCGTTTTCGTTTGTTTGTATTTCGCCCCATCATTGAAACGATACAATTGAGACGTTTTCTTGTCTTTACAGACAAATTATCAAAACTATTTATATTAACAAACAATATTTGAAGATCTTTATTATTATCATTGATCAGCATGGTCGGTCTTCGCCACAGCGGGGTGCCTGAGGCCCCTTACAAATAATATAAACTAATATATTTTTATACCTGCCTATATTTTATTATTACTACCATTATCAGCACTTGTGCTAGTTTTGCAGTAATAGCGATGAAGGGCAGGATAGCAACTGCTCCAGAGCCCCGTCTGCTGCAGATGTCTGTAAAGGCTATAAATAGTCAAAGTAGAAGTATGTTGCACTACGATATATTTAACATTATAGAGATTCAGTATATATTCGTACAGTTCTGCTACATTTAGATCTACTATACATTAACATTTCGATACATTAGGCTCCTAGTAACGTCATGTATATATATATATATATATATATATATATATATATATATATATATATATATATATATATATATGACGCAACACCCACTAGTGTAAATATAGTAGTACTACAGTAATATGGATATATAACTAGAATAATATTCGTAACACTCAAATATATAGGAGTATGGGGTTAATGGGTTGTCTGACGTCCGAAGCGAGTTCCACAGCGTCAAATGACTTGAAGAGAAAAAGAAAAAAAAGTAAAAAGAAGAAAGAAGAAAGTCTATGAGCACAGCTCATATATATGACAAATAGACAAAGGATAAAATAATAGTAATGATAATAATAGTGAGATAGAAGACGTACAAAAAGATAATTGCAGCAGCAGCACCTACAAATGCCGCCGGCCGCTTTTTTTAACGCAAGGAGTCGTAGGCCCATCGATTTAGTGTATTTAATCGAGTTAAAAAACATCAAAGGAGTTGTCTGATGAACTTTTTATGGTGTTTTGCTTCGTCAAGCTCAGTTGCATGCAATGAACATAATTTATTTAGTTTTCAATAAGCATTCCTTCTCTATTAATCTAAAACATTCCTTGTTTTCTTGCTTTGTCTGCTTGCCTTGCTTGTTTATTTGCTCATTTGTTTGTCTTGGTTGTTTTGTTGGTGTACTGCAGTTGATGCGGTTTGTTCTTCCCTCCGCTCCTTCCTCCTCTGGCCTGTTGTTTTGTCTTCTGTATTTTCTCTTCGGCCACAAAACAAAATACATTTTATTAACCACGTAATATATCTTCAGCTAACATTATCCTGCTGCGATTAACGATCTGCTTTCTGCTGCTGGTGCTGCTGCTGCTGCATCTGCTGCTGCGGCATCGGCTGCTGCTGTTGCTGCAGACGGAGTTAGAGCAGTTCGATGCTGTCCTCCTCAAACCCAGGTGGAGCCAAACGGGGAATCTGAAACAACAAACAGCAGCAGCAACAGCAACAGTAACGCCAAACGGAGCACCGGCACCGGATGCAGCAGCAACAACGCATTCAGCAGCAGCAGCAGTAAACCCACCAGCACCAGCAACGACAGCACATGCAGCAGTAGCAACAACAGCACTTTCACCGGCAACAGCAACAGCAGCGCATCCGACAGCAACAGCACACCCAGCAACAACTGCAGATCCAGCAGCAACAGCAACAGCATACGCAGCAACGCCAACAGCAGCAACAACAGCACACCCAGCAGCAGCAGCAACAACAGCACACCCAGTAACAGCAGCAATAACCGCACACCCAGCAACAGCAGCAACAACAGCACACCTAGAAACAGCAGCAGCAAAAGTACACCCAGCAACAGCAACAACAAAAGCACACCCAGCAACAGCAGCACACAGCAGCAGCAACCGCACACCAAGCAACGCCACCAGCCCAACCACCAGCAGCAGCATCAGCACATCCAGCAGTCTCAGCATATCCAGCAGCAACAGCACATCCAGAAGCAGCAGCAACAGCCCATCCAACAGCAACAGCAGCAGCAACAGGATACCCAGCAGCAACAGGACACTCAGCAACAGCAAACCCAACAACAGCCCATCCAGCAGCAGCAGCGGCAACAGCAGCCCGTATAGCAGCAGCAGCGGCAACAGCACACCCAGCAGCAGAAGCAGCAACGGAGCACCCAGCAACATCAGCAACAACAGCACACCCAGAAAAATCAGCAACAACAGCACACCCAGTAACAGCCGCAACAACAGCACACCCAGCAACAGCAGCAACAGCAGCACACCCAGCAACAGCAGCAGCAACAGCATACCCAGCAACAGCAGCAGCAACAATACACACATGCAACTGCAGCAGCAACAGCACACCAAGCAACAACAGCAGCAACAGCACACCAAGCAACAGCAGCAGCAACAGCAGCAGCAACAGCACACCCAGCAACAGCAGCAGCAACAGCAGCAAAAACAGCACACCCAGCAACAGCAGCAGCAACAGCAGCAAAAACAGCACACCCAGCAACAGCAGCAGCAACAGCACACCAAGCAGCAGCAGCAGCAACAGCAGCAAAAACAGCACACCAAGCAACAGCAGCAGCAACAGCACACCCAGCAACAGCAGCAGCAACAGCACACCAAGCAGCAGCAGCAGCAACAGCAGCAAAAACAGCACACCCAGCAACAGCAGCAGCAACAGCACACCCAGCAACAGCAGCAGCAACAGCACACAGCAGCAACAGCAACAGCAGCAAAAACAGTACACCCAGCAACAGCAGCAGCAACAATACACACATCAACAACACCAGCCCACAAAGTAGCACTAACAGCAGCGCATCCAGCAGCATCAGCGCATCCAGCAGCAACAGCACATCCAGAAGCAGCAGCAACACCCCATCAACAGCAACAGCGAACCCAGCAACAGCAGCAAATCCAGCAGCAGCAGCGGCAACAGCAGCCCATACAGCAGCATCAGCAGCAACAGCTCATCCAGCAACAGCAACAACAGTACACCCAGCATCAGCAGCAGCAACAGCGCAACCAGCAAAAACAGCACCACCCCATCCAGCGACAGCAACAACAGTTCATCCAACAGCAGCAGCCTATCCAGCAGCAGCAGTAGCAGCAGCACATCAAGCAGCAGCAACAGCAGCACAATCAGCAGCATCAGCAGCAACCCATCCAACAGCAGCAGCAGCCAAAGCGCATTCAGCAGCAGAAACAGGAGCAACAACAACACATGCAACAGCAGCAGCAGGAACGACATTAACAGCACGTCCAGCAGCATCAGGAGCAACAAGCCATCCAGTAGCAACAGCAGCAGCAGCACGTCCAGCAGCAGCGCCATATCCAGCAGCAGCAGCATACATCAAGCAACGGGAGCAGCAACAATACATGTGGTAACAGCAGCAACAGCACATCGAGTAGAAGCAGCATCAGCTCATTCAGCAGCGAAACAGCAACAGACAATCCAGCAGCAGCAGTGCGCGAGACAGAAGCAGAAACGGCGACAACACAAAGAAGCAGCAACAGAGATAGCGCACGAAGCGACAGCAACAGGAGCAGCACTAGCACGTGGAGCAGCAGCAACACCACCAGCACACGAGTCAACAGCAGCAACACCACCAGCGCATGATGCAGCAGCAGAAGCAACAGAAGAAGCAACAACGCATCCAGAAGCAGCAGCAACAGCAGTGCGTGGAGCAACAGCAGCAGGAGCACATGGAGCATCAGCAGCAGCAGCAGACGAAGCATCAGCAGCAGCGTTGAGTGTGGCGGTAGTGAGAGGCGGAGAAGACCACAACTCCATCGACTCACCGAAACAGCTGTGTCCGGTTGTTGTGTATTATTATTTCTGCTGTTTCTGTTGTAAACTGCTGCTCCATTGTTATTACTGTTGATATTCTGCTGGTTATAATCATCAGCGGCCACGGGCCGCTGCAGGCCGCTGCCGCCGTCCATGCCGCCTCCTCCTCCTTGTGAATAATTCAAGAGACGGGGTGCATCTTCTTCGTTATCGTCCTGCGGCGACGCCAATGAAAAAAGAAGAATTAATTATAAAAAAATACGAAGTAAGCGCCAAGCAATCAACTAATTAATTGCTGCGATGTTAGACTATCGTCAGCATGAAGAAACACAAAAAAAAGTGAGAAGTACAAAAGAGAGAATGAAGTAACTCATTAAAGGTGATATAAAAGGAAAACAAACAACCACATGAATTACAAGCAAAAGAATTCAAGAATTAATTAACTGCAAGATAATAAAAATGAAATGAAATGAACGGCGACACCGTCATCATGCTCCTGGGGTGTACAGACACCTCAAAGTTTCCGCGCCGTGTCCTCTATCTTTCTTCAGTTCACTTCTTTTTCTTTCTATTTTCAAATAAATGAATAAATAATTTATTGATTGATTACACACTCGAATAATTACTTAATTAATAGTGTATTCGTATTTCTAGTGTTTCCCTCTCTGCAACGAGAATCTCGCCACCCCTAAGAAAAAATGTGGCTTCACTTTTTCTTCTCTTTTAGTTTTTGTTTCCAATATTTTCATTGGTTTACCTGTTCTGCATCAATAAAACTCAACTCCGGTTCATATTTCGCTGTTCCGCGTACCCTCCCCTCCATTTCTTCTCCGCCGTGTCCGCCCTTCCTTGGATTCCCGCCGCCGCCTTCATCGCTCCAAGCGGCCGCAGGGGCATTCCCAACAATGGCATATGAAACGTTTGCAAAGGTCTCAAAGCCTAAACAAAATAAAACAAAACCATGGAAATAATAAAAGAATGGAAATGATAGAATGCAAATGAATGCCACGTCAATGCAGCTAATACACAACAAACATGCATTTGAAACGTTTGCAGAGGTCTTAAACCAGCAATAAAGCAATAACGCCAATAAGCAACAACAAGCAACCATGCTAAGCAGTGACAAACAACCATAATAAACAACAACAAACGATCCTAATCAACAATAACAAGCAACTCCAGCAAACCTTGCTAACTACCCCTTATCTATCGCGTGATCGTTAGTTGAATAATTACGTATCTGCTGTGTGTGTTTATCTGACCCGTATTTCTGAAGAAGGCCTTCAATCTCCCTGTCCTGGCTAAGTAGTTGAAAATGCACATGGCGAGGACAATCAAAGAAATCAACAATAACACCAACTTGCCGCCGCGGCTAACCGGAGAATGAGCGGGGCAGGGCACCGCCACCTTCTCCGGCACCCACCCGCCCTCACAGACATCACCAGGAACCTGAAATAAATAATAAGAAAAATGAAAATAAATTGAGATTTAAATGTAAAGGAATAAATAAATATAAATGTAAATAAAGATAACGATGTGCAAATGAAGACATGAAAGTATAGATTAAGAGAAGTAGAGATGCAGAAAGCTGGAGGTGAAAATGTACAGAAAAGTGGATATAAGGAAAAATAAAGTTTCAAATAGAGATGAGGAGGAATATAATAAAGGAAAGATAAGGATAAATATAGATTAAACAACTCAGGTACGAAGATAGACGTAGCGAAATATACAGATGAAGCGATATAAAGAGGAAAGATAAATGCACAGGGGGGGAGATACGGATGAAGACAACGACTACTGTTTCTGTCGCTGCTGTTGCTTCTGTTTCTGTTGCTTTTGTTGCTGCTGTTTGGGCGTACTTTTCTGTATGCTGCGGTGTAGAAGAATGCTGAGGAGGTGCATGCAGCGGCTGCAGCTGCATCTTCAGCATCAGCTAGCTGGTTAAGCCCTGCTGCAGTCGAAGCAGCAGCAGCAGCGACGTCCGTCGGCAGACAGTGAACAGAGCCAACGGCCCTCTCGAAGCCGTACTCGCACTCGTAGTCTTGCATTGTGCACGGGCACACCTGCGCATACACCCCAGTACATGTAAACACACACAGCTGTAAATACACCACAATATATGCGAATTGAAACAACCGTGAATACGCCTCAGTAACCATATACACCCCGATAAGTGTAAACACAGAGAACTGTGCATACACCCCAATCAGCACAACTACAAGCAAAGCTCAAACAGAAGGAAAGAACAATGAAGACGACGAGCGGTGATTGAATCGATGCAGCGAAGAAAGACGCTGGATGTACACCGCAATGAATGCGATATTAAACAAACAACACATAAACAGAAAAAATAAAACGCTAAAAGAAGGGCAACGGAGTGGAGAGGCTGAATAAACAAATGGAAATAAAATAAAATAAATCAAATTGCCGAAACTAAAGACAACAAAGCCAACTTAAACAACGGAATAGAACCAAACAAAGCCAAAAAAACTAAATTAAGCAACCAAAAGAGATAAAAGAAGCAAAATTAAACAACGAAAAGAAACAAAATATAAAAACAGACAACGAAAAGAAGCAAAAAATAAAACAAAACAACAAAAAGAAACAAAAAAAGAATAAACTTTACCTCGACGCTGCGGGGTCTCTGAAAGTCTCTGCCATTGAAACATTCGCTCGTTTGTTTCCGCCGGGTGTACGTTATGTGCTTCCCTAAT